TTTCGAGTGCTTGCTTTGAATATTGATATAATTAATTTGAACATTATTTATTTTGAATTTTAAAATTTAAAATTTGTATTTTAACTGTAAATTTAAAAAAAAAACAGGTCAAGAAACGAGGCTTGTCCGCGCCCTGGGGTGAGGAAGTGACGTGACAGGGTGGGATGCCCTGGGGCGAGGAAGTGACGTGACGGGTGGGACTGGGTGGAGGTGCCCCACCCCGAACCTGCCCCCTTGCCATCACTAATATACACTGAAAAAATACTTCTATATAAAAATCTTCTCTCTTCTTACAAATATTTCAACAATGAAACACAATTACCTAACTAAATTCCTTTTAAGTTGATCGTTGTCATGTCAGTTTTAAATTTTTAATCATCAACAAAAATTATTAATCCACGTGAATAACTTGGTGCAACTTGTGGGTCGTACACTTCAAGAAAATAATAACCTATCATGGTTAGTAGCGAATTCCTTACAAGTTATAACACAGGTTTTTGCCTTGCATTCTTTATAAATACACGTATCAGCTGTGACAATCAAGAATCTCAATGTTTTCAAGGCAGAGCAAGAAAAATTACTGGCTCGGGGAAAAATAGGAAGGACTAATATTTACGGCAATAATATACACAATGTCATACATGATTTAAATAGGTTCAAAAGTAAAATGTATCAGCCTCTTCTGAATACAGTGTGAATCATCTCCTTCAAATTGTTACATCCCAAAATCTCCATTCCCTCAGAATGCATTTCTGACAAATTTTTCTCTGCTGACTTGGGAACGATGCACTTTTTATATCCAAGCTTTGCCAGTGTGTTAATCCTTTTCTCCAATTGTGGCACCTACAGTTATTTTAAAGAAAATGAATGAGAGGATATGATAGCATATATTGAATTAAAATTAATCTCAATATACCAATTTTTTAGAAAGAACGTGTAAATTACAATGTAATTCCCCAATGCAGTTTGGAAATTTTGTGAGATCAAAACCAGCCAATTGACCACAAAAGTTTCTTGTGAACATAAGATGAGTTGGTTGGATTTATAAGTAACAAAGCATGTGACCTTTGAATTTCTAATCACTATGTCTGCAAGTACATCCAATACAATTAGCTGAATAACAGCAGTGTAAATTTTGTAGCCTTCTTAAAAACACATTAGAAACATGCTTTAGACATTGGGTAAGTTAAAAAGGATATAGAAAGAAATAATATACCGTGCGAAGTTCACCACCGAGACCAATTTCCGCAATGAATGCTATGCCACTCGGTATAGGGAACTCCAAGAAGCTGGACAAAACAATTACAGTATATAAGAACTAAAAAAGAGGTATTAAGAGACAAGAAGAGGAAGTCAACCTCCAATTCAAAAGATTAAATGGCAGGTAACAACTGAAGGTTTACTAAGGTCCAATCTGTTTAAAGATTATTATAGCGTAATGATGAAGGCCTGACATCATAACAAGCATGACGTCATAATACACTAGTTTGACGCTATGCAAGGCACACTTTGGTCAAGAAAGTGGTTGGTATTTTATGTTCCCTGTAGTCCTTCAAGCAAATCCCAAACGAGAGAGAAGGTATATTCCAATTTGCAGAAAGAGATAATCAAGGGAAATTGAAATCTTACCCACCTAATATTGAACCCATAGATTCCACTCCATTATATGACACCATTTTAGTTTGCATCATTCTATATTTTCCTTCTCGTTCATTTATTCTGATAACTATTCAACATTTTATTCAGGGTTAAATCATTACATATTTTTTGCATGCACAAGACATGGAAGATTAATGACACTACACGCCATCTCAGAATAGTCAACCAATAACTGACTGAAATTCAGGCTTTGAAAGGATTGGGTTTGGCTTGGGCAAACAATTCTGGTATCGTCATTGATAAATTCAAAATAGGAACAACTAACTCAACCAAGCAAATTTTGTCAGGAAAAGCCCCACAACTTTTATCAAAGATGAAAATCCAAAAGCAGTGAAATGTTCACTGAAAGAGAGGTTATTTAATTACTATTAAAGACATGCCTGCTGCAAATTTTGTAAGGAAAAGCCCCACAACTTTAATCAAAGACGGAAATACAAAAGTAGTGAAATATTAAGTACTGAAAGAGAGGTAATTTAATTACTATTCAAGACATGCCTGCTGCAAATTGCGGCTGCTATCGCTAGGTCTCCAGCTGTCTCCGTTAGGTGTACCCCACTAACCACATTAAGGAAAATGCCCTACAAAAAAAAGACTGGAAAATTAGTGAGACATAATGATGTCATAGCTGCAGTTGTCAAATCAGGACTTGAGGTGATTATGGAAATCAGGAAATGCTAATAATTGAAACATGAAAATGAAAATAAATGAAGGATAGCAAGAATTGGTACAAAAAGAACAAGATTTCAGAAGCAGGTATAACAAATTCAGATCAACAATGCAGCTATATTATCATCAAAACCAATATTATGAACATCTTCCCAAGTACAGTTTCATTATTTTCATGACTAGACATATAGGTCCATACACTTTCAAGATCCATTTTGCTCAAAGGACTGAAATTTTTGTGTAAAAAAAATTAAATTTTCTGTGTAATTTTTTTTTTTTTTTTGCATATTAGCCCGGCTTGTAGTCTGGTCCTGAATCCATCCCCACTTGAGTATTACATGACATTTTTTTTTTTTTTTGCAAACATGTACATTGCAACCAAAAGTATGGTACAGAGTAAGCCTGATCTATTGTACCTAACCATTAAATGGTCAGATCAACAAGATGAATGAATAGAAATATTTTGATCCAATAAGACATGGTGAATATAAATTCAGAATTGATGCATATGGACAAATATCTATTTCCAAATTGTAAACTTTAAGAAGATTACAGGCTCCCAAGCAAACAATTTGAGCTACAAGATAAATTTCCAATTGCATGAATGAAGTTGAGTAAGATTAAGAAAGTTCATGGAATCACTTCTTAATACTCGGGTAAGGAATTTCACGAAATTGTCTAGCTATCTGTAGCTGCTTAAGCATTATTCAATTTCTGCAGGCCATCACCCAGAAAAAGGAAGAAAAAAGCTTCAATGTCAACGGAAGAGACATAATATATAAAAAGAAGAAATGGTAAAATCATTAAAGAAAATTTACATTCTCTTGTAGCTTTAGACCAGCTTGCTTCACAATAACCTGAAATAAAAAAAAGAGGTGAGATCATTTGCATACAGCTCAGAAGGAAGTGCCAGTGCCACAGGACCTTAGTAATTCAGTCAGAAGAAAATATAATTAAAAAGGACAATTATGAACATATATAACCATGTTCTATCACCAAGACAAGGGAAACCAGAAAGATGAAAGTTGGACAGCCGGAGAAAAATCACAATTCGCAACTTAATGTTACAATGAACAAGCATTAAATAGGTAAACTGTGAATAATCACTCACTGAGATGATCATGTCAGCTCTGCTCCCTGGAACACCATTTACATGCCTAGGAACTGATGATCCCGCTACGCATAATGCCTACAAGGATAGAATGCAGTGATTTGAGCGATAGGCGATCAAAAGGAAGTGCAATGAAAGCCCTAAGCATGTTGGCGACCTTTTAAAGGATACATACTGAGAGATTATTTAGCCCCTGTTTGGCCCCTTTTTTCCTCAAGCTCATTTTCAACCACACATTTCATAAGACCCACAACTTTTGTGTACTTTTAAATTACACAGTTCATCATTTTTTATCAAAATCTACTAAAAACCTAATTTTTAGCTAAACCAAACAGGAGCTTATATAACAAATGCAAAATTTGGACTTTTGAGCCGAGTAGGATATCGTCATAATTATCCTTGTACAAATGAGCAAGATGGACTTCATAATTCAAATTCAAGCAAGAAGAAAATCTATGAGAAAATTAATTAGATTTAATATCACAAGAAATAGGCCTAAATTGACTAAGCACAAAACATGAGAAAAAATAAAATAAAAATAATAATAAACGGTACCTGAATTTCAATTACAAAAGCTCGGGATCCATCCATCATCACAGAAATAGCTAATCCAGCGAGATAGTCAGAATCAGAGTGATGTTCACTTAAAAACATGTCACTGGGATTTGAAACTCCTTCTAGTCCTGACTGAGACATCTGGAAAACTCCAAGCTGACAGCAAAATACCATTATCTTCACAGGCTAAAAGACGGTAAAGTAAATGAACAATTTACATGCGAAAATTATACCAAAAAGCTAAGGACAAAAATGTTTCTCATAAGATTATGGCCCGCCAACAAACCATCGTTTCTTATTTGTTGTATGTTTGCCCCTGCTTTCCACATTATACTTCTCTATGTTCATGTTGCATGCTTAGAGCCCCAAGGCCATGAAACAATATTACAGGTTCTACATTATAGTCACCAATTATGGTTAAGTTGTATATTTTCCATTAGACTTGGTTCCACTGGTCATATATTAGCTACTGCACACACAGTGAGATGCACATCTAAACAGATCCATGGAAGCAACAAGAAAATTGCCTCCAAGCCTCCATCCTTGTTGAATAGGGTGTATGAGACTGAGGAAATAGACTTTTAAGAAAAATAGAACACGGAATAAATTAAGGGTGATAGAGATATTAAGTCATTAACTAATCCATTCAGAGAAATATTAAGTCATTTACCACCTGACATTATTACATTTAAGTCATTAACTAATCCGTTCAGAGAAATATTTCATGAGTCATGATAGAATGGAAGAAAGAAAAAATGATCAACCAGATCTTAGCAAAAGTTTTACCAAAAATTAATGCCAGCAATGTTATTGATGTATAGATATTTGAAGGAAATTATAAAATAGTGGAGCGCAACGTGCTATAAGAGGAAAATCTTTCCTACACAAGATATTCATACACCTGACACAAAAGGCATCTTTGGTTGGGTGTATAGAAACTCACCATCAGCAAGAGTTTTACAATAAGTATCGAGGGCAGCCAAATTTAAGGTACCAAATCCTGGAACAGAATTAGAATTTCTAACAACAATGAGGATGATCTGGAAACACTGAGCCTACCAATTTAAGATTCTTGAGCAGGCACACAATATCCTTAAAAATGGAACGGAGATTCTATGAAACACAGGGTATTGTTGAAATGCCAACAGTTGGCAATAGTATTCATATGAAGAGAGAGAGGAAAAAAAAAAGAAGTCCGCCTTGATAGTGTCAAGTACATAGATGCAAAGAGCAGAAACATTTTGCGGTCAGGGGTTCTAGAAAATTGCCATTTATGATAAGCATGTAGCTAAGCGAAATTTGATGTCAGTGAGTAAGTACCAAACAAACAATTGCTAAAATTGTGGCTTTTTACACTATATATGATTAAATAGTATTTGCATCTGATAGATCTACAGTTGCAGCATCCAGAAGAATGGACAATTAAAAAACTAAGAATTTTGGCTAAATTCATCTAATACCTCATCTGTGGATCCAAAACGATTCTTCACTGACCGAAGCAATCGATGTGATGAGTACTTCTCCCCCTGAAATTATCCGTCAGTGAAGTCCATCAGAAAGAAATTCAGTATAACACAGACTGGTTACTTATTGTGCAATCAACCCCCTCCCTTCAAAATAGTTATAGTAATAATAACTTCAAAATAGTTGTAGTAATAATAGAAACATCTATACATCATCCTATTCCCTAGGCAGATCATATGGGGAAAAATAAATGTCTACAAAGCACCGATTCGTATGACAAGACACAACATGGACGTGTTCATCAATTAAAATATGTGAACTATCAGCAAATAAGTCCAAAAAATATCTATCAGCAAATATATTGCCAAATCAATGGACCAAGCAAACACCACTTTCCGTCATCACCTTCATCACACCAGCTATTTACTTGGTGTAAGAGCATAATGTTGTGTTCAAACCAAAAGGTATACATTGATATTGAAACAACAAACATTTTTTCAGTTTCTTTTTTTATGCAAAACTAGAATTACATGATACTTCATTAACACATGTACATATAAGATGACACGACATCTCCAACAGTTTACAAAGATATCAACATCTGAAATATAAATATTTCAAATAATAAGATTAAACAAACTACAATCAACCAGAAAGGAGAAACAATAATTGCTCAAGAAAGAAAATTCAGTAAGGCACCAACCTCCATATACAGAACAACATCAACAATGTGCTCCAAGACACGAGGTCCAGCAATTTCTCCATCTTTAGTCACATGGCCAGTCTACAATAAGCAAGTAGTGTGACCAAATTATTATTCATGCTCTGTCCCAAGTAACAATGAAAATAAATTCACCCAATGAAATGGCACACATTAGCCATTCTTCAGAACTTATACTAACCAAAAGTATCGGTATGTTTGTCTTCTTTGCAAATCGCAGTAAGGCCGAAGTGCATTCTTTCACCTGTCATGAGTCAACTTACAATTAGCACATATTGATGCTCTAAATTAAATTATTGACAGCTGCGTATCTGAAGTTGTTTGCATTTATAACTTTCTGCTCACATACTAGACAAGAATAAAAGGCCCAATATGGCATATTAACTAAAAGGAAAGAAAACAAACACAATATGAACCAGACCATTGTTCGCGAAAAGAGAGTTCAATTATAATCCAATGAAGACAAAATTAAAACTGTATAGAGGAATGATAACGTCAAAGAGTGAATTAATATGGAACCATTGTTAAAATTGTGAAAAAAAATAGTCAGATTTTAGAACCTGGACATGGCTCCCAGCATTTCCAGTCGCTTCTCTCAGATAGACCGTCTGAATGGAATCAATGACTAAAGCCCGTGGGGAAAAAACCTGAGCCTGTTTTAGAATGTCCTGACAAAAAAGGCAGCAAGATGAAAAAAGAATATGCATAACTAGATTTCACAAGCCAATGTAGCATAAATCCAAAAACATGATTTGACTTGCAATAAGTATGTTGTTCGAAATTCCCCAGATTATTTATCTTTTTAGTTCCACCAATGTGTCGTCCTTATAAGGGTAGTTGCTACTCTACATTAAATCTTTATATAGAAAATTTGTTGAACCGAGAAGGCAAGTTACAAAAACAAACATTTTGGAAAGGCAAGTGTCGAATGCTTAATCACATATATATTATCTCGCACTGGCCCTCACTCTATGAATGTTGTTTGTGAACTGTAGATACTTCTTTCTTTTGATGAACCCATTTGACTCTCTTGCTCTATTAGCCCTTCATAGGTGGTTCAAGTGACATAGGATTTAAATGTCCTAGCATCAAGCTCCCCAACTTTTAATCATTCTTCTCATTGTTGTTCCACTTTATATTCATCAATCAAGTCATTTAAACCAGTTATTTAAACACTGAAAGGCTAATAATGACAGATTATTTTGTGTTCAGCATCAGCATCCTTGTATCAAGCTAAGTTTGGTGTTATGTTAAATAAGCTAAAAAAAAGGAGCTGACATAGGACAATACTATTTGTAAATAGGATAGACATTAGTTATCATTATAGTAGGATTACTTATAATAGTAAGATTTGTTTCCTTTAGAAGATGATTTTAGTTCTCTTCCCTTTTTGTTCATTGTTTAATTTTCTTATATCATTAGGATTAGGGGACTATTTTGCACTTGTACACTTTTCAAAATAACCAATTCATTACAATAAAATTATTCTTTATAAATTTTCGAGTTGGTTCAACTTTATTCTTGTTTCAACAATTTCAATTCCACTTCTTCCGTACCAAAATTAGTATGAGAGCAAAGTTTCGCACTTAGTTAATGGCCACCTATGGTGGTAGTAGCATGCATCTTCACGACAATGATCACAGGATTGCAAAATTACAAATATTGGTCTAGAAGCTGGAATGAAGGATGGATAGGTGTGAAGAAGATGCTGACAAAAATATGCAGATTTTGACTTCTATGATTGTTTGTTGCTTCAACAAGTTCAGAAATCAGCAACAGGTGGTTAGAGATTTTCCTCGAATTCAAGCTAAGTTCAAATTCTCGCAACGTTATGCACAAATTTTGAAAATATTTACTCCTCGTTGATTACTTTCTCTTCTTCAACCAAACTGGAGGTCGAATTAGTATTTTTGTATCCTTTTTTAGGATTTTGATTTTCTTTCTTTATTGTAACATTGTTTAATTTTCTTATTTATTAGGATTAGGTAATTATTTTGCCAATATAAATAAGGCTTTGTATGCTTTTCAAATAACCAATTCACTACAATGAAATTATTCCCTACAAATTTTCGAGTTTGTTGGACTTTATTCTCAGTCCAAGAGCTCCAATTCCACTTCCGCAACAAGAGCACTAATCATAAATACTGACAAGTGAGCCAAAATGAAAACTGATTCAAGCATTCCTTCAAAGTAGATGACAATACAAGCATATTATCTAGATCACAACCATAGAGACATGACAAATTAATGTGGCACTTTGAGATTATTATAGGAGGCAAATGAACATGATAAGAAGATGCACCTCGATGTCTGTACTCGAATATAAAAAAAGGTCTTCTGTTACAATTCTCAGACGATCAGCTCTATTTCCAATTTGCTCAACACTCTGCCATGAAAAGAGGTCAGAATAAAGTCAAATTAGGTAAAAGTCTAAAACTAGAAGTTTTGGTCCTCAGCTGCAGCCTGAATAAGTTGATGATACAATAACATTGTAACACAACAAAACAAATACAATATTGGACAAAAAATAATCTGAGAAAGAATTAGGTTTCACCCAAACATAAAAAATGTGATTATGTTAAAAAAAGGGTTGACCTGCTTTTTAGAAGCATTTGAAATAAGATTCACGTGAAGTGAATTATCACTGTGAAAAAATGACAAGGTACTCAATACCAGTAAAGGAAAAAAAATTTCACCATTGAAGGTGGTTCACATAATGTCAAGAAATATAAAGCTCTGATACCATGTCCAGAAATATAAATTGTATTATTATGG